TTGGTAGACATCAGGTGACCATATGGCCTGAGTTTCCCATATTACCTGGGTGTTTTCTGACCCATTTGAAAGTTTGAGAATGCAGATGTGTAGTAGCAATCATAGTAAGGAAATGGCCTATGAGACAGCTTGGGAAAGTCCAGAAGGTACCTTTAATACCAACTCTCCCATACTTCATGCCTACAGCCTCCTGGTGTGTTCAACAGTTGACTGATCTTAAAAAAAAAAAAAAAAAGTGAGCCTGGTTTACAGAAAGGTCTGCATGTTACTATGACACAAGCCCAAAGCAGATACGCTGATGTAAGCCCAAAGCTGTAGCACTATAGTCCCCATAACAGGTGACCCTGAAGGAGAGTGAAGGAAAACTGAGTGGGTACTTCACGCACTGGAGTGAAAACTGATCAAAGTATAGACCTATACTAATTCATGGACAGTTACTGTTGCTTTAGCTGGATGGTTAGGGAACTAGAAGAGCCACAGAAAATGGTAACAGGAAATTTCTGACAAGATGTGGTGGATGGATCTCTGTGAGGATATTTGTGTCCCTTGTCAATGACTACCAAAGTGCAACCAATGCAGAGCACACTCTTAAGAATGAGGGATTGCCAGACAGGGTGGCATATGCCTGTAATCCCAGCGGCTTGGGAGGCTGAGGCAGGACTGAGAGTTCAGAGCCAGCCTCAGCAATGGTGAGGCGCTAAGCAACTCAGTGAGACCCTGTCTCTAAATAAAATACAAAATAGGGCTGGGGATGTGGCTCAGTGGTCGAGTGCCCCTGAGTTCAATCCCCAGTAGCTCCCCTTACCCCCGCCACAAAAAAAGAATAAGGGATAAAATACAGTGGGTGTGTCAGTTTTTTCTCCAGCCACTTCAGTGCTTTCAAAGATACTAGGTAATCATATAAAAGTCCCAAAGTACTTACTATTCATACAGTGGCATCAATTTCTATAGAAACAAGAGTTCATTACATGGCAGCTGATGGAAAGTAAGAGTTTAGGATCTATATCAAATGCTGTGTCACTTATGAAGCATTCAACTACAACCAGTAATAGAAAAATCCAACTGAGACCAACTTTTAAATGAAGAAAATTTATTGTTCACCCTGAAAACTTCAGGGATATATGTTGATGGATAGATGGCGAGTTGATTCAGAATTCCATAAATGTGACTTAGAACATGGTTTCTGTCAATCTCCTATAGTTGCTTCATTGATGTTGACTCTATTTTGGACAAATTTCACCCAATTCATGATCCTAAATTGGTTTCCAGGAGGTCGGAGAGTTATATGCATCCTCATTCAAGAAACAGCAAAAAGAAACATCTGTCAACATACTCAGGAAAAAGATCTTTAAGTGTTACTTTGATTGAATTAAATAACTGTCATTTCCAAACTGGCCATTATCATTAGCAGAGATAGTACCTTCAGATTGGCCTTGCCAATCAGGGCTAATCTTTGGGGAGGTGAGGCCGGTTCCTTCTAAATCATAAAGCTGAGAATGGAGGGAAGAGGTAGGTTTTGAAAGAAATTCAGGCTACTTCTCCAAGAAATAGAAAAGGACACAGGGCAGTCAATAGCAGGAATTCATTACAGATATTTCCTATTTACTCTTTTAGAAAGAAGTTCAAAATTTTAACCCCAAACCACATATTTTCTGTATGTTACCTAACACATATGATTAAGAAAAATCATTTCTTCATTATATTTATTTATCTACTTTAAAAAATATTTTTTAGTTGTCATTGGACCTTTATTTATATATGGTGCTGAGAATCAAAACCAGTGATTCACATATGCTAGGCAAGCGCTCTACCACTGAACCACAACCCCAGTCCCTATATTTATTTTAATAATCACTACAGAGAATTTGCTACAAAATTGGTAATAATACAATTATTATTGTATTATTCAAAAGAAATCCTAATGACTTCTGAAATCAAACACACTTTAGCTGATATCCCTATTTTAGTGTGCTGTCTAAAAAACATGACACTATAATTGTTGTCAGACCACAAAAACATGTATTGAAATGGAATGGCCATCTTTTTTTTTTTTTTTAAAGAGAGAGAGAGAGAGAGAGAGAGAGAGAGAGAGAGAGAGAGAGAGAGAGAATTTTTTAAATATTTATTTTTTAGTTTTTTTCAGCAGACACAACATCATTGTTTGTATGTGGTGCTGAGGATTGAACCCGGGCTGCACGCATGCCAGGCGAGCACGCTACCACTTGAGCCACATCCCAGCCCTGGAATGGCCATCTTTACAAAGCATGATACCCATTGCTTTGGGTATCTGATCATGGTTTCTGATGCACAGCTTCAAGTTGTTCATTTTTTGGCTTGTCTTTTAGTACTCTACAGTCATGTTCTGGTTTTTCCTTTGCCAACCTCTCCCATCTCCATCCCTTCCTAGACTTATAATACTTTTTCATGATAAAGTTTACTTTTCCGGGGCTGGGGTCGTGGCTCAGTGGTAGCACACTTGCCTGGCACATGGGAGACACTGGGTTCGATCCTCAGCACCATTTAAAAATAAATAAATAAGATAAAGGTATTGTATCCATCTACAACCCCCCCCCGCCAAATTAAAAAAAATAAAGTTTACTTTTCCTTTATAAGTTGAAATCTATGGTGAAATACATCCTCACAGTTCACTTACTACCTCAGCTATTTGCAACCTGTCCTCAACTTCTATAAATCAAATCTGCTTAAAATTGCCAATAGCATCAATATTCAAACTACCAAAATATTTACATGGTTGATAACATTCTTTTTTAGTTTGCTTCTCCTATCTGATTGGTTTTCCTATCACCCCTAGCCATGTCTCTGTACTAATTACTTGCACTTCTCTTTTATGGAGTAAAACCCCAACAGGTTTAGTAAGGTTCAGAGTTAGCCTCTGGCTGCATCTTTATGTGTGTGTTTGTGTGTTGCTGGAGATTGAATCCCAGGGCCTTATGCATGCAAGGCAAGCACTCTACTAACTAAGTTATATCCCGAGCCCACTGGCCCAAGTCTTGCAGCTCACTTTTTCATTTATTATCCTGACAACTCACTGCTCAAGACAGGCCACCTCCACTTCCTGCTTGCTACAATTTTCTTGAGATTCCCTTTATAATCTTCCTTCCCTTTATAATCTTCCATCAAGGTCCAGCTTAAATATTTTCCCTTTCATGAACCCTGTTCTAGTTCCCCTCAAGCTGTAAATCACCACCTCTGACTTGATCGACCATGTCTAAGCTACCACCGATTCTTTTTCTTTTTTAATTTGTTCTACTTAGTTGTACATGACAGACGAATGCATTTCAATTCATCATACACAAATGGAGTTCAACATTTCAATTCTCTGGTTATACACAGTGTAGAGACACACCATTTATGCAATCATACATGTACCTAGGGTAATGATGTCCATCTCATTCCACCATCTTTTCTACCTCCATAACTCCTCCCCACCCCCACCCCTTCGCCCAATCCAAAGTTTCTCCATTCTTCCCATGTCCCCACTCCCCACCCATCACAGATCAGCATCCACTAATCAGAGAAAATATTTGGCCTTTAGTTTTTTGAGACTGGCTTACTTCACTTAGCGTAATATTCTCCAACTCCATCCATTTACCTGCAGATGTCATAATTTTATTCTCTTTTAATGCTGAGTAATATTCCACTGTATGTGTATGTATGTATATATATATATAATATACATATAATATATATTTATTACAGATTCTTTATCCATTCATCTATTGATGGGCATCTAGGGTGCTTCCACAGTTTAGCTATTGTGAATTCAGGTGCTATAAACATTGGTGTGGCTATATCACTATAGTATGATGATTTTAAGTCCTTTTGGTATAGATTCCGGAGTGGGATAACTGAATCAAATGGTACCACCAACTCTCGACTAGACACCTGTAACCTTCCTAACCAGTATCCCTGCTTCTTGCCTGTCTCCTAATAGTTTCTCCACAGTCACCAGAATGATTTCTCATACAATCTAAACTTCTTACCATGGCCTACAAGATCCGGTTTCTGTTAAGGTTTATTGGTCCAAGAACTGTGTTACATTTTTTTTTTGATTAATTCAATTAATCCTGTCAATAATCCTATGGCTATGTATCCGATGCTGCTGATGACTCATCTAGATCCCTTTTACAGGGCTGGTGCATTTGTACACTAGTTGCTACAGGTGTTGGCTGCCAACAGCTTTCCACCCTTATGTGGAGGACTGCCCTTACTCTTCTTTCCCTTCCTTATCCATTTTCTTTATTCTGTTATAGAATTTTCCTAAGAGTACTCCTTCAGTCATTTGCCCAAGAATCCCCATCTCAGGCACTGCTGGAGGAACTGATCTGACACATAATTTCCCAGATGAGGAACCAAGAGGTAGGTGAAATGATCTGCCTTAGGTCAAACAGAAAATTAAGAGGTTGAAACTTGAAGCCAGTCTGATTTACCAGCCTGCACTCTTTCCTGCAATGCTGTAGTGGTACTTCTCCAACCTCCCCTCTCTCATTTATCCTCTAGTCAAGTTAAGTCCTGCCTGAGGGTCTTTGTAATTTCTATTCTCCCTGCCTAGAATATGTTGTCTCTATTTTCTTGTAGTTTGTTTCTCCACTTCTTTAAAAATGTCTCAAATATTACTATCTCAAAAAGACCCTGCCTTACACAAGCCATCCTAAGAAGCTAACACTATCCTCAATTCTACTTCATTTTATTTGCTTTCAACACCTGAAATTATACACAGATTTGTTTTCTGACACTCATACTAAAATGAAAATCCTGAAGGTAGGAATGTTTTCTAGCTGACTTACCACTATATCCCTGAAGCCTGGTAACTGGCACTCAGTAACAGGTAGTTGATAACTATTTGTTGTTGAATGAGTGAAGTAAGATCTCCTTTCTCAGACCTCTTATAGAAACTCTCTGTAGAAATTTCCTTGCATGTTCTTAATTTAGAACTGTAGTTATTTAATGCAAATTTTATTATGTAAGCTTACATGCTCTGGAGGACAAGAATTATGATTTATTAATTTGGGGATACATAGCAGAATTCAAATGACGGTACTTCTAAAACTCCAAATATCAACTACAGCTTATCTTTCCATATAGGTATTAATATCAGGATTTCATATGAATTACAATATAATCCAGAAATATGAAAAAAATGCCATGCTTAATTTATAAAGCATTCCTATGCATGTTACAATATGGATTAAATACAATTAGGTACTCATCATTTCATCTTTATTTTTAAAACAATGCCATTTCCAAAATATAAAAAATAGACCTATTTTCAAAGAACCATTAAAATATGGCTTTGAAAACCATAATATTTTATTTACAACAAGTAGATGGTAGTGCAATAGCATGCAATGATGTTTATGATAAATAAAGTGTCAGTATTATTCTGGCATCTTTTTGGGGGTAGGCTTTTATACTTACAGAGAGTTAGAATGACTTTAACAAGTAAAGATCAATAATAGCCATTAATGTAATGTGTACTTCAATGTGAATTTGAGTGATCAATGTAGATTGATCATTTATTTGGGAACTGGATCCATACATCTGGAAATTAAAGTAGAAAGTTAAAACTTTTTTTTTTTTTTAGTTTATTAACAAACACATCCCAAATACTCCAGCATTGGTACAAGGGAATCTACTGAGCATTTCTCATTAAGTGATTCATAGCCACACATGCTAAATAATGACTGTCATAGCCAGACCCTAGAAGTTTAGATTTTACAACTTTAAACTACATTAAGTATTTATGTCCCCCACCAAGAACTAAGTCCAGGATTACGTTTTAAATTATGTTAGAGCCATGGGGGAAATAATAAGCAATGTAATGACAAAAAATTTTAGCTATTTCTCAGAAAATTACATAATTCCTCAAATTTTTACAGTTGGTGTGTTCCAAATGAATTTTAAAACTAAAGCATGTTTACAATGGACTTTTCTCACTAAAATATCCCCACTTAAAAAGATCTGGATTTGGCTAATACCTTATTCAGTAAATTCTTAACACCTTATTCAGTAAATTGTTAAAGTTTAATTTATCCTTGAAACAAACAACATTCTTTTAAGAAGCTGTTTTCTTGCTATTGCACAAGGTCAATTTAAAGTCAATCCAGGCAAACAAGATTCCTCTAATCCATTTAGCAAATGTTGCAAATTAGTTTCTACTTGAACAATGAAATGTCTGAAACTCTACAGTCGGTGTCAGTTTTAACATGCTGATGTCAGCCATGACAGGTAGAGGTAGCCAAGTCCCATATACGTGAAGATAAGAAGCAGAAATCATTGTGAAGACTTAGCAGCTCTTTGACTTCTAAAGATTAAAGACAAATTATGTTTATGAGCCATTTTGCTGTGTGGCATTCTTCTGAGTTTTATGTCTCAAACCCAAAGGAGCTTGTTGCTGTCTTGGGCAAACATACTGAAATTACCTTTCTTTTTTTCTTTTTTAGCTTACTTTCTTGTCTCTAAGGCCAAGTAAAAAATGTGAGACATTTTCATATACCACAAAGGTAATACAGCAGGCTGGAGTCACTCTAATCAAATTGGGGGCAATTCCTTTGTAAAATCCACCGATGCCTTCTTTCCTTTAGAGGGAAAAATAGATATATGCTTAATTTCCTAAACAGTAAGCCAGAAAATACAAATTTTAACTGAGATAGGACAGGGAGTAAATAGTCAAACCTTGCTCTGATTTAAGTAAAAATATAGTTTGTAGCCATTTGTAGGGGCCTACATTCTTTTTATAAACTGACTAAGAAAGGGGTTGGAAACACCTCAAAACTGAACTGGAAAAGTGCTTTAAATTAACCATCTTTGAAATGCTTTTAACTGTACGGATATGTAGCAGTTTTAACTGATCTAATTAAAAATCACATAGCTTATATAAATGTCCACAACAGTAAATCTAACACATATAAAAATTTATTTCCTTGATGCCTCCAATATGGAATAAGGCCTAGGAACTTATCACTTAGGTTCTCATTCAGTATTTCTTGAATTGAACTCAATTTACCATTACAAATATTCTGCTCTGGTTTTTTAGAATTAAAGGTAGATAACAGTTATTCTCATAAAGAAAAGCAAACATCTCTTCCATACTGGGGCCTTCTAAAATGTATTAAACTAGTAGGTTTTACTGCTTCTTACATTCAATACCAAATATTTACAACACCTCAATTTTATTATTTTTTCATGTATCTCATTTTTTTTCCTTGAGATGAGGGTCTTGCTGTGTTGGTCAGGCCAACCTCTTAATTCACAATCCTCTTGACTCAGTCTCCCAAGTAGCTGTGTCACCACCCACAGATCTCATTTTATTTTTATATCCATCTTGTCAGACTAGTTAGTCTAAGTTTACAGATGAAAAAAATCAAGTCTCAGAGAATTAAGTCCATGCCTACACAGCAGTAGTACTTAATGGGAAAGCAGTGACCACTAGCCATATTTTTTACCACAGCAATTTGGCCTTTGTTATACAACATGTACAGAATAAAATAAGTAAGGCTCTTCATCACAACAATTCTGATATTCTGCACACTTACCTCCATGTCTTTGCAATTACATCCGTTACACCACTATAAAACATGTGTTGATCCTGAAGACGGGCTCTCACAACTTGATATGGGTATGTTGCTGCTACAGCAAATATTTTGGATAGTGCAGCCACAGATATATATTCTACTGTGCTCTAAAATGCCAACACAAAACATTTACAGACAGGACTTCTTTAAAAATATAGAATAAAAACTATAAAGGACAAAAATATTTAAATAAACCTTTAGATGAAAAATACTGTTTTTCCTCTTTAATGCAAACTCTATGTAATTATGTGGTTTCACTTTAAACATATGTGTATCATTAACTTAATATATAACTGAATATTTAAATACAAATTAAATTAGTAGAGTCAGCATTCATTATCATAGCCATACTACCAAAGTACACATGACAAAATTTCCATCTCTTAAATGCCTATACAAGTAAATGACATCGTTTTTACAAGAATCATCTTACCAGTTGGGCTTCTGGTAATCTATTGATATGCTGGTTATATTTCAATTTTAGCAATTCATATGCCATAAACTGAAGGGCACCATGTGATGTTCCAAACAGCCCAGGAATAAATCCCTAAAAGGGAACAATTAAAAAAGAGCAAAAACTAAACAACTTTCAAAGAAAGATACATTTAAGTCAAATATATTTTCTCTCCTCTTAAGTGTAGTACTTTAAGCAAAATTTTATATAAGGTTAAAATACTATTTTTTTACTTTAAATTGGGAGGTTGGGATAGGAGGATTGCAAATTTTGGCTAGTCTCAGGAACTCAGTGTGGCCCTAAGTAACTTAGCAAGACCCTGTCTGAAATAAAAGGGGGAGGGGGCCTTGGGATGTAGCTCAGTGGTAAAGCCCCCTGGGTTCAATCCCCAATACTGGCTGCCCCTCCCCACCTGCCTCCAATATGTATTTTCTTGTTAGTTCTTCTTTAAACAGTACATGTATAAACATAAAGACAATGTACACCATCAAGAACCAGGTATGAGCAGGCAGTTAGATTCTGGAAAAGTGAAAAAGGAGAGGTAATGATAATTCAATTAAATAAGTATAGATATTCTAAAAGAATAAAGCAAAAAAGTGATGGAGGAAACACAGAATTGATTTATTTCCAAAACTTTTGCCTATAAGTCAGTAGTCTATAACAATCACCTCATGTTATTGATTTTAAAAACTAGTACACAATTCTTCAAAAAAACTAACATTGAATAAATCTAATTTTGATTTTAAACTGTGGATGACTGAAAAATAAGTACTGTGGGAACTAGGTGTGGTGGCACATGCCTATAGCTTGAGATAATCAGGAGCTTGAGGCAGGAAAATCACAAGTTAAAGAACAGCCTGGTATACAGTGAGACCCTGTCTAAAACTATAATTTTTTAAAAAGAGCTAGGTATGCAAGGGTATGTAGCTTAGTGGAGGGCACCAGCCTATCATATATGAAGCCCTGGATTCAATCTCCAAAAATGTGGGGAAAAAATTTATAGGAATAAGACACAGGTGGGAGTGGATGATAGAGAAGCAGAAAATGGGGGGACAGGAGTTATAAAAATCAGAAAACAGATGTTAATGCCACTAGTAAGATATTTCAAAATTATCACAATAGGCAAGGGAGTAGGGTTTTTGTTATTTAAAAAATTCAAGTAAGGTTTGAAGTTTGCACAATTTCCAGTAAAATAAGATGCTATCAAACTCACTTATCTCTTCTCCAGACATGTTATCCCAACTTGGCTGTTTGACTTACTGAAAAGACACCTGACAAAGTTTTAGACAGTTCTCACACCCACCAGTGTCATGATGATAGAGAATAAATAGCTTAAAATACAATTTCAATATTATAAGTTACATTTGAGTTTTCATTCAATTGTATCTTGCCTAAGGGAGGCTTCTTTTTAGGACTGAATCCAGGTCATTCATAAGAGAAACAACAGAGCCAAGAGAAACTGCAATTTTCAGTTATTGAAAATATATTGATGACTCATTACCTTATACAATCCACGCACACCTTCATACTTATATATTTTCACAAGTGCATCAAACATTCCTTTATATTGCCGCTGTGAGGAGTTAACAACACCTTCATACTGTAACATAAGGCGAGTTTTTGTTACCCATAATGGGTTTGTAATGCAGAGGGTCATGGCTCCTAAAATCAAATTTAAAGAAGATTACTCAGCATACAGATGCTTTTCTACTTAATTCAAACTAAAATACAGTCCATTATGTAAAAGAGGAGGTTACCTAGAAGCTGTATCTGGAACGGCAAGATGTGGTCTTTTTAGGGTCAAATCATAGTCATAATTTTTGAGAGTTCTAAAAAAATTCCTCACGTGGGAGTGAGAGGTAAGTTAAGAGGGAGACAGAAATGAAAAACACTTCAGGATAGCAAAGATGCCTTGACTCCTAACCAATGTAGCCTGGTATAGAAAATAGATGGAAAGGAGACACAGATCTTAGGAGCAGAAGACAGAATAAACCAGAGGGGCTGAAGGTAAAAAGGAAACCAGGAACCTAGCATCTCATTAATCTGTGCATGTACACACATAGGTCCAACCCCTTTATCACAATCTTCCCCAAACCCATTCAAAGTAGCTACTTCCCCTCAAAAACTAACTGTGTGATGCAATAAGTCACAACTCACATTCTTCACCGAAAATGACAACTTTGTAAGAGAAAAAACTAACTAGTCAAGTTTCTCATTTTCTACATTTCTAAGGAGTCCTTTATTAAACCAATATTTGTTGAGTCTTGTTATGATTCTGCTAGCAGCTAGTTATTACAAAATGAGTGAAATTGTCCTTGCTTTAAAAAACATTCAGTAAACATTGAGAAACCAAGGTAGCAAGGTATCAAAATAGGATTTATAAAGATTTATGGGTCTCACTTTGTTCTTTTCTCTAGATAGTACACAAATATAAGTCGATGAATGAGGCTACTAAATTGAATACTTACAAAATTGAACTTATACTTTAAAAAAAAAACATATACCAAATCATCTTAATCTATTAGGGATTCATAACTTTTTAAATTTTTCCACCCTTTGTGATAAGTACAATTTTTGAAATCCAGAATGCTCAATAAAGACAATCCTAAGAAATATTATGTGATAACTAATTAGTATACTTAGATAAATTTACTTAAATTCTGGTGTCCAAAAAAAAAAAAGACAAAAAATAAAAATGGAAAACAAATTTGGAAGGTGATGTTTTATATTTCACACATTGCCTTACCAGCTTCAGCAGCTGAGATGAGGTATTCTGTTGCCTCTAACCGTTCAGCTCTTCCTTCTGTTTTATATGATTTGATGGCATTGTAACTAAAAGAATTAAACATAAGCAGTTTAATTAAAATAGATGTCTTAAAACAGTAAAATCTGTTTTAAAGAACGTGTAACTTAATGGCACTATCCCCAAAGTAAAAGTCAATGAAAAATACAACCACAAAATGAGATCTTATTTTAAAAAAATGAACATGACAGAAATGGTTTACTATAGGATTACACCACCTCTCCCCAACAAATATATATGGCTGGCAATACATATGTAAAATATTTTAATCACATATTCAGCAGTTAATTTAAAAGGACAAGAAAACGGAGAGGATGGAAAGATGTAACTGTGATGCAGAGACTGGGAAGAAAAGGCAAAGGAGAGTCCAATTTGTGCTTAACAAATATGTGTGCTAGGCATCTATGTTTAGGAACTTCCTTTGCTTTCTGACAGATAAACATCAAATATAGATCTTTCTTAATAGATTAACAAGGATCATAAGTGGCATACAAATAAACATAGTAAAAGACATAATAAAATGATAATCATAAGAAAAGACACAGTAAAATAAGAGATCCAGAAACTATGAGATCACAGAAGGCTTTATGTTGGAGGTGGCACTGAGCTGTGTATTGAGATGGGTACAGTTCCAATAAGGAAAGAGATGAGCATGGGGAAAAGTGATAATAAAGTAGATGGTAAGATAGTGAAAACTGAACCTCAATCGAGTAACAGAGATTTGGGTTTTATCTGGCAGAAAACAGTCACTAAACATTTCATTGCAGGGGAGTCAAATCAGGCCTGTGTTTTCTAAACACAAATTTTACTTTCCTCCAAGAAGGATTCAGTTGAATCAATATTTTCAGGTTTTCCCAACACAATTCTAACATGAAACAAACTTTTATTATAAGCAATTCTCATCACATAAAGCTAACTCATATGGCTTGTTCTTAGAAACTCTCTTGGATAATATACAGAAATCAAATTTATAAAGTATTCTTTCCGGGCATGGTGGCACAATACCTGTAATCCCAGATACTTGGGAGGCTCAGGCAAGAGGATCACAAATTCAGAGCCAGCTTGGGAAACTTAGAGAGATCCTGTCTCAGAATAAAAACTTAAAAAGGCTAGGGATGTAGGTCAGCGGCAGAGCACCCAGGCTCAATCCCCAGTACTATAAAATAAAAACAAGCCCAAACATATATGTGTGCATATATCCATACAGTTTACCTGAATATGTCTTTAGGGTGAAAATAAGAAAAACTTTAAACAAAACAAAGGCTGAATTTTAGTTTGTTTTCACTTTAAAAATTTATTTTAAGATTGGTTTGGATACTGCCATTAACTTATGAGAGATTAAGTACAATATATAATGCAAAGGAGAAAAAGGGAAAGACATGGGTGTTGATGTTTTCCTAAAAATGTCCTCTGTTAAAAGAAAGAAAAGCTTTCTCATTCGTGGATGCAGTCTCAAATATCAGAGGCAAGCTCTCAGCAACATGTACTTCTCCACAGCAGTGCCATGTTGCTCCCTCCTTCTTATACACTCAACAAGATGAATATGCCTGCCATAGGCTCTTTCTGTGGCTTCTTCAGAAGGCATGCAATAGAAGTTATTTCTAATAGTGATGCTATCTGACTGGTGAAGGAGTAAGGAAATGAAAAAGAACATGCTGGGAAGATGGAGCAGGTCACATAAGAGTATAAAGTGATTTGCTTCAAAACCTTTTAGCTCTTGCTTTCTTTTCTCAATCAGGCTCTTAAGTTATATGTTTTTAAGGACTCCAAATCTGCCTTTTCTTGCCTTTCCAAGTTCATTATGAATCAAAATGCATTTCTGGGTTTCTTTCTTTCTTTGATACTTTAGTGAAGTAAAGTACCCAGGGTGCTTTACCCCAGTTTTTTTCTGAGACAGAGTCTTGCTAAATTGCTGAGATTGGCCTCAAACTTGCCATCCTCTTTCCTCAGCCTCTTGAGTCATTGGGATTATAGGGATGTGCCACCACACCCAGCAAATCGAATACATTTCTGTAAGTCATCTCAAATATTTCAAGAATATATCTGAGCATAAATAACTAATGATCTCAGGATACTTTTTAGTATTTATAAAATATTCTATTTTAGTATTTATAAAATTTTCTACTTTGTAATTAATCTTGTATTAGTGTATTAAAAAAGTTATCTTCCTTTATAAACAATAAATACCAAAGAGAACTGAAATTCATGATTCATTTTAGACAAGAGTTCCAGGTTCCTCCAATCTCTGCAATACTTTGCAAAACTACTGATAAATAACAAGTTGGTATATTCAACTTTTTCAAGTCTATTTTGGCTGTTAGAAATGCTCAAGAGTCCTGATATGGCCCAAACACCTCAGAAATTCTGAGGGTGTCTTAAAACTTCATTTTGAATTGTTCAAATTAGATGTTTTTCAAATGGCTTTAACTAAGATAAAAAGTTCTCTTCTAATCTGTGAGCATTCTGCTTATAAAAGAAATCAGTTAAAAATCTTGCCCTCCTGAATTCATAAAAATGGCTTCTATAAGGGTTTCCCATCTCAATTCTTCATCCTTTCCTTTACAAACTTTCTTCTAGACCAAATGCTTCTGATGATAATAACCGAAAGCAAAGGAAACTAATAAGCCATTTGTTCTCTAATCCTTCCAGTTCCCAGAACTGATTCAATGACTCATCTTTCTTCATTAACCAGTATAAAAGCCACCAAAACAAAAATTCCTTTTTATTTAATACTGTGAAATCTCCCAGATCTACTCACAAGAAAAAGTAGAGTCCCCAGGATAAACCTGCACCCCAAACATTTGGAGTTACTCCTTGATAAAGTCCCCGCAGTCCATCAAGTTTCCAAATGGTAGTCAAGCAATGTAAAATTCCTTTATACTTTGGTCTCAGTTCCAATCCATCACTCACTGCATTAAAGGATACACAAAAATTCTAGTTCAGAATCACATATAAACATAGATTCATAAATTAGCTATATAAAGAAAAAAATTCAGAAGAAAACCCCTTATTAGGCAGGAAAAAAGTATTTCCTAGGATGTTCTATACTTTAAAATTAATGTTAATAAATTTATCAAAGTATTTATTGAGCACATATTAAGCACCCAAGTAATATTTTAGGAAGCATCAGATTGGCTATTAAATAATCCTCCTGAGTCACTGGGATTACAGGCATGTTGCCAGAACACCTAGCTGTAGTTTTTTATACTGCTTTTTCCCTACTCAAAGAGAATATAGAAACATTCCCCCTTGCTTTTAAGTAGATTCCAAAAATAAGACTTTAAAAAAATGTGATAGTTTTCCATTTCACAGACATTCTATCATTTATACTATCATTCCCCAATTTGACATGTTAATTTTCTTTTTCTATTACAAAAAGTTCTCTAAAGAATATCTTGTATAACAGTTTGTATGGATTCTTTTTTTTTTTTTTTTTTGGTACTAAGGATTAAACTCAGGGGCATTTGACCACTGAGCCACATCCCCAGCCCTATTTTGTATTTTATTTAGAGATAGGGTCTCACTGAGTTGCCTAGCACCTCACTTTTTGCTGAGGCTGGCTTTGAACTCTCAATCCTCCTGCCTCAGCCTCCTGAGCTGCTGAGATTACAGGCGTGTGCCACTGTGCCCAGCTTGTATGAATTCTTATTTTCTTAAAATTAACTATTAGAAGGGGAATTGATATGGCCAGGCGTGGGTATAATCCCAGGGTGCTTGTAATCCCAGTAATTTGGGAGGCAGGAGTCAGGAAGATCCCAAGTTCAAGGCCAGTCTCAACAATCAAGACCCTGTCTCAAAAAATAAAAAGGGCTAAGGTTGTAACTCAGTGATAGAGCACCCGAGTTCAACCCAAATACACAAAAAGGGGAAGGGGGAAATGATATGGGTCAAATTTAAGTTACCAATTTAAGTTAGAAATACATATTGAAATTGCCCTCCATAGAGTTTACAGTTTATTAGCCACAAATAAGCATGCCCAGTTCAATGTACCCTTGCTTCTACTTTACTGTGTGTAATAAGCATGACAAAGAACAATCACTGGTCTTGTGTTTCAGTGTGAGTGTATATACTGGATAGCAATGGTAAGATTTATTTACTACTAAGAGTTGTGGTCAAAAAGTGCAAAATGTTGGCTGGAGATATAGCTCAAGAAAGAGCCTGCCTAGCAGCCACTTTGGACCCCATTGGGGAACAAAACTAACCAAATTATACTGTTAAATTGTGTGCATATACAAGTAAGTAACAACTAATTCCACTATTATGTATAATTACAATGCACCAATTAAAAAAAAAAAACAATTAAAAGAAACCTCACTCATTATCTCCCTGTCTCCATCTTCAATCTCTCCCTTCCTTTTTTTTTTTTTTAAACCATCAGAATTTAAACAACTTAAATCTCTCTTGAGTTACCTCGTCTTTGATCCCATTGCCTTCCTACAGTTAAGCTGCTACAAATGAGAAAACAACAATCCAACTTTCTCACCTCCCTGGCAATCTAGTCTGGGCTTCACCTATTACTTCAAGGGCTCTAGTTAAGGACCTCCAAGTGCACTCTGGGAGTCCTCTCTTCCTTAAGAACCCCTTAGTGGCAGCTGACATTGTTTACCTTCTAAAACATCTCTGTTTTGGCTTGCTTCTTCCCACATCCTCCTGATTTTCCTCTTCTTTGCCACTAAATTTTCCTGGCCTCCTTTCCCTCTGCCCATCCTTAAATATTAGTTTTTATAGGCACTCTTTCTATTCTCAACTAAGTAAATTCACTGCTATCCCTGTACTCCAGTTTCTTGATAACTAGTCCTGATCACTTTCCTAACATCCAGCCCTGGATACTGTTTTTACATGGCTTAACTTTCCGGAATTATTTTTTTACTTTCATTTCTAGCATTTAAATTTTCCCTTCCACTATACCAAACTATCCACTCAGAGCTTCAGACTAATAACATATGCTATTGAATCAGACTTCCTAGGATTGAATCCTAATTGTTAACAATTATTGTGTAACTCTGAGTAAGTCATGTGATTACTCTTGTATCTGAGCTTTCTCGTTCATAATATGAGGGGGGGAAAAACCCAAAAATGAACTCTAAATGAGTTAACATCAATTAAATGAGTCAGTATTAATGAGTTAATATGTGGAAGGTGGAGCTAGGGATATAGCTCAGTTGTACAGTGCTTGCCTAGCATGTGCAAAGCCCTGGGTTCAAGTCCTAGCACTGTTAACAGACCCCCAAACAAACTTTTTTTTTTAGTACCGCAGATTGAGCCCAGTGGTGCTTAACCAATGAGCCATAACCCCAGCCTTTTTTTGTATTTTATTTAGAGACAGGGTCTCACTGAGTTGCTTAATGCCTCACTTTTGCTGAGGCTGGCTTTGAACTCCTGATCCTCCTGCCTCAGCCTCCCAAGCCACTGGGATTACAGGCCAAACAAACATTTAAAGCACCTGGAAACATGTCTACAAAACTGCAAGCACTAAAAATATTAGTTTATTTATGCCACTGGGTCTTTCAATACCACATAAACTTTACCATGTGCTAGTCTTGTTACTGTACACTATGGTTCCTTGGTTAGTATTAGATTTAGTCATATTCTCCTTTCTTCCTACTTTTCCCTAAAAAACTCACAAATCTTTACAAATGGGGTTATTTTAGGAAATTACTATTTTTATACATTCTTATTTGCTGGGGTTGAATCCTTAAAAATTATTTCATGAAGTTAGAACAGATCTCAAAGATCACCTAACCCAATCCTTCCACCCAACACAAAAATATCTTCTAACCTCTGTCTGAACCACTTCTAGTCATCACCAGTTTCATTTCATAACACCACAATGTTGTCAGGCCAAAATCTGCTTCCCTATAATTTCCACTTAACTTATGTCTGACCTTAGGATCAACCCAAAAGGCAGCTCCCTCTCCCCCATAGAAGTTCTCTATCTTAAGGATTTTCCCCATTCCAAGCTAACCTAGTTTTTTCAGTTTTCTCAGATGAAATGATTTCCAATCTTTCTGACTTTGGATATCTTGAAATTTCAATTCACATTCAGAACTCATGAAAAAATTCCAGGTTTGGTTTAGTAGCACATACATTCAGGACTAAACTCCCATCATCAGATATTATCTTTATTTTTTCAGACATTAATTTTATTAAATGGTTTTAGTTATACGAAAGAATAAAAACCATGGGTTAGAGCATTGATGCTGATGACCAGATGCTATATCTCCATTACACATCTAAATTTTCCTCTTTTCTATTATATCAAAGTCACACTGTGGGTTTTATTATTCCTCTCAATACCCTATATGTAACCTAAACCCTACTAGTTTTCCACTACTCTCCACTTCATCAAAATTACCATCTTCTCAAGATACCAAGAATTTTCTTCCCTCAGGTACTGTCCACTTCACAGCATTGTCTTAAATTCATCAACCAACAGTGCTATTTCTCAATGATCATCACAACTGCCACCTTTTCTGCTCCTAAACAAAGTTGCTGAAAAAAGACATCAAGTTATACAGGCCCACACCTGCAGCCAAGCCTAAATTCTTTTATTCACGTTCAAGCCACTGTATACCGGGATTCATAAAGGCAGCATGTAAGTAGTTAAGTGCAAGAGGGTTCCAGAGTTGGACTCCATGGGTTCAAATTCCAGATCTACCTTTACATTCTGTGACGTGGGCAAGTTAAGTCAATTTCAGTTATCCTCACCTGTATAAGAGGATAATAAACTCACAGGATAGTGAACAAAAATGTATCTAAAGCTCAGGTGGGCATGGTGGCACACATGCCTATAATCCCAGTGGTTTGCAAGGCTGAGGCAGGAAGATCTGAGACCCTATCTCTAAATAAAATAGGGAATAGGACTGGGGATGTGGCTCAGCAGTTGAGTATCCCTGAGTTCCTCCAATCCCCAGTACCAAAACAAACAAACCAACAAAAAAAAAAAAAGAATGTTTCTAAAGCTCTTAATTCATTGCCTTTCTTCTAGGAAATGCTCAATGAAGATTAGCTATCAATAATCGTAATTATTTGTATATGCATCAGAAACTCCATGAAATTATCCATTTGTAGTGTCTTTTCTAAAGGTAACACTCCATAATTTTCACCAATTTTCCTTCATCAAATTGTTTCATGTCTTCTTTCTGTCAAAGTATTAATTATTCTACAGAGAACCTCAAGATCCAATCTTGCATAGAACCTTTACAAATGCATATAGCCATTAACAATTATGATTTTCTTGATAGCCTATCTATATTCTTATGTTGTATTTTGATTTATTCTACTATGCCCTTGATGTTTGTTGTCTAGAATTATCTAACATTACTTCTAAGTCTCAAGTCTTACAATTAGATACTAAGTTCCCTGAAGTCAAGAACTTTATAAAACACTTCTGTAATTAAGAGATATATAAGAAGTGAAGTAAATAAAATACCTAGTATTACTGTAAGATAAACCAAAATTGCAAACTGAATGCTCAGGGCAGGACTTAACTTGTATTAATAACTGAAATAAAAGAAAACAGTTTCCAAATGAAGTTACCAAAGTTTATTTTGAAACTATCTTTTACAGAATTTAGTGTTGAGTTTAACTTCTAAACTGCTAATAATTCGAAAGCAACTCCATTTTGAAAATCAGCATCTACCCTGCCAGGCATGATCTTCCTGTTAGGCCCACCCTCAATGACTACCCAACTGCAGAAACCACAGCAAAGGCGCCAAATAACAATCACAGGACCAGACGTTATTTTTTAACTACTCCATTGTACCTGACTATAATAGTTTAGAAGTTTTTTCCAGCAGGCTACTGCGCCTTGCAGAGGGCAGCCTGGCAGATATTCTCTGTCTTTCCTTGAACTCAGAGATGTGTGTCCAGGATATTTGCGCCAGTTATCCTAATACATATTCACTTAAACAAAAGAATATCTAGATCTGGCTACTTTTTCGTTCAAAGGACACTGTACCACACTGTACACATCAAAAACCAAAGAAACTTTGAAGATAATTCTATCCCAAACACCTGGTACTTTCCGTTCTGCTTCCAAACACGTGGCTGACCTATGATTTCGAAGTACCTCCTAGAATGAATGATTCGCCCGTGTGACAGCCAAGTCCTAAACTGTCACAAGCCCATTCCCCCCCTCCCCAACACACACACTTTGCCCACATTCCCCATCCCTTATCCTCGGGGAGCGGGAAAGAGAGCGGCCAGGCCCTGCTTTCTCAAATCCAGTTCCAGATGAGGCAGCGTAAACAGCATCTTCTTCAACGCCCTCCTCCTCGCAGTACAGAAGATACAAGGGAGAGGTCACGGCCCCTTTTTGAGTTTCCACTACTCAGCCCGTGCTTGCAGCGAGAAGGACCCCGGTGTCTAGGCGGGCTCTTACCGGCGAAGCGGATCTTCACGAGGTCGAGCGGGTGCAGCGCGAGGTTAGACAAGACCCCGCCGCTCACACCAGCTACCAGGTTCTCATACCGGACGTGGCGGAATACCGTGCTCCACGCCGACGACCCGGACGCCGACTGGCCCTGACCGTTCATAGGCTCAGGGTCCGAGGAAACCACGGCGCCCAGGGCCGCGGAGGTGGAACGAGATGCAGTGGCCGCCACTGTGGCGACGGTCGCCGCCCGGGAGCAAGAACCGTAGGGCGCGAGCCCACTTCCGGGACTGGCGAAAAAGCACCGACGGCCGGATAGCGGGAACCGAGCCCGGAGACCTTAATGCGGAGGGGCGTGAGGGGGCGCGGCCACACGTCAAGCCGGTGGAGGGCGTGACGGAGGCGGGTTGCACGCCTCCACCTAGTGCCCGCCCTACCTCCCCGGCTGAAGCAGCATGCTTGAGCCAAAGGACGTGGACGAAAACAACAGCTCAAGAACCGCCCCCTGCCAACCTTTGCCGGCACTACTACGGAGCGCCGCGGGATCCAGCTGAGCCCCGCTGGCGGACACGAGGTGGTATCACGTGACAGGAAGTAGTCTGCGAGAGGCGGAAGTGGAGTGTGCGGGAGGAGGAGGTGATACTGACCTGACTGAGAGGCTCTTGGAGTCAGGGAGGAAGAGCCGCCAAGATGAAAGTGAAGATGCTGAGCCGGAATCCGGACAACTACGTACGCGAAACCAAGTTGGATTTACAGAGAGGTGAGGGAAGGTGATTGGGAGGGGCGCCTTCTGCCAGGCGTAGGTTCGGTCGGCCTCCACTTCCTTGAAGTAAATGAGTGGGGAGACCAGCACTTCGGTCTAGTTATTTTCCCAGTTCTCTTTCGCCCAGAGGAACTTTGGATAGTGCTGTTGCGGAACTGGGTAACGGGTATGTTTTTTAAAGTCCTTTTTTTTCCCCTAAGAATTTTTAGCGGTAACTGGGAGTTAGCAATAGGGAGAAATGCTTCCGCCTCCGCAGGTTTCTGTTGAAAAGTGGAACTTGAATGAACCACACTCGTGTATTGAAGGATTTAAGGATTAAACAGGCTTCTTTAAAACTTTCCAGGTTCTGTAATCATTTTATTTCCACTTAAAATTACTTCTGCTTATGGAAAGAAACAGATGGGTTTTAAAGCTATCAGTTTTCGCTTGCCAAACCATCCCTGTGAAAAGTTTAAGGGCAGAAAGGGTAAAGTGAAATTAGTAAGTTTTATTTATAATTAACGACCTGTTCGCTCATTAACATGTCGACCACTTATGAACTGTGATTTTGTTTATGAAACCTAAATGACAAGAGACCAAGCTTGTGTGGACAGACCATTGTAAGTGAAGAGAATAATACCTGCAAAGGCAAGGGCTGTGTCTTCTTTCTCAGGCATAGAAGGAAGGCCCAGGTCTTCGGAGTTCGAATGATGGATAAGCGATGAAAAATGAGGCTGGAACATTATTTCACTTATGATTAATAGAGATTTGCCAACATATTTATGAGCATTGCTAAGATGTAAGTGTAAGGGTAAGTAACAGGACAGGGATGTTCCCTAAAATGCAAATTAGATTTGTCCTTCAGACTTGACATCGTCCACAGTCATTGAACCTCTGGTCCCTACTTCATCTCCAGTTTCACCAATCACTACTTTTCCCACTAGTAGCTTATATTCATCCTTGCCAACATGAGTGCATTTCAGGCATTCTCTTTCAGATTTCCTGTGGCACACACTTTTCCCAGTTAAGCTGCTCTGTCTGGGAAGCTTTCTTTGAACAATAATTTTGCATATTTATTCCCTGCACGGACTCACTTCCACTTCAGTAGCCCTCTTTTATGACATTTTTATACTTTTGTCAGTGTTTATCATAATGTCTTGTGGTTATTACTTTGGTGAATTGTTTTTCCCATCAGACTATACTTGCAAATAGAGGGAAAATCTTTTTTGGTGTTCACTGTTTAGATAATAACCTGGTACATAGTAGATGCTTTATGAATGTCTGAATGAATGAATGAATGAATGAATGATTGGATGGGCAGGTAATTGGTTATAGAATCTCAGTGTTAAGATGTTCTTATTCATCTAATCTCGTTATTAAGGTATTTTTCCCTACATTTCCCTATTTATACTTTCTGATGGAAATAACAATAAATGGAAAGATAGAAGTTTTGGAGCTCTGTAAAATAAAACAAGAAAGACATTTATTGTCTTTATTCCATTTTTATTTTAAGTGTTATTTTCTTATAAATTTTACAAAGTATTCAAGAATTGGGGTAAGCATTGGGGAATCTGTTTTCTAAAATCCCATGGTAATTCTGATGCAGCTGGTTAATATGTGTGAGAACACCTTACATAAGTATATGCAATGAGGTCTGGGGATGTAGCTCAGTGATAGAGTGCTGGTCTAGCATGCACAAGGCCCTGGGTTCCATTCCCACCACTGCAAATATATAATAAATGCAGTGAGTTTATAAATTATTATGTCTTCAGTGCTGGTGATGTATGGTAGGTCCTCCATCAATATTAATTGAATGTTTCTTATTGACTGGATTATGAATTTAGGGGTGGACAAGATGTTATCTGAAAAACTTTATAGAAGCCATAAGATTTGAATAGAATCTAAGGGGTACATAGGGCTTAGATGGGCTAGAATGAAAGTTGGAGTAAATTTTTGTTGGAAGCCATAGTGTGTGGAAGAATTCAAGAGTGGAACAGTACAAGACAATTTTAAATGACAGTGGGTAAACGTGTTGTCTGGAACTGAACTTCACAAGGAACTTGAAACCAAACAGGTAGATTTGGGCCAGATTGTAGAAGACCAGAAAGGAAACTGGAACTTCTGGTCTTCTAGAACTTTATTCTATAGGTCATAGATCTCTGAAAATGGATGTTTGGGGAGGGGCATTTATTACAGTGTGGAAAAAAACAATTGGAACTTCAGTCTATTTCCAATCTTAAAAAACAAATGAATTTTTATTTATATAATATTTGGATTGATAGGGACGACCTTGTTTCAGCCATGTTAAAATAGTCACATACTATATAAGGTAATTCATATATCCTGAGGAGTGAAGGATTGACAGAGCAATACTTCTAGCTTCAGCATTTTGCAGTTTATATCTATTGGGGGATTATAACTTCTAAATGATGAAAGGACCATGAAAATCTTTTCATGTAGAAGTTTCTTGGTTTTATTATGGCAAAGTTCTTGAAAGAGTTATGGAACATACAGTGAATTAAGCATTTCTTAAATTTGGCAGGCTTCAGTGCTTAAGAATGTGAAGTAGGAGGCTTTTTAAAGTTTTTCTTTTTTAGAAAAAAAAGTGTAACAATCCTAATATTCTCTTGTACCAGACTAGAACCTTTTAATCTATCACAGTGTTCAATTGTATTCAAATTTTTAACCATTTTTAATGATGAATGGCAAAATGACTTCAAAAAAGTCTTGTAATATGTAGATATTATTTTGATGATGTATGCTTGGAAATATATCCACCATTTAAAAATTTTTATACTGAAAATGATGAAAGTGTTATCTATAAAAATTCATTTTGCCTTTGAAAAATTTTGGAAACAAAATTTTTTGTTGTTGTTATTGTTGAAACTGTTGAAATAGCAATTTTGTAGGAACAACAGCTGTTGACATCAGAGGAAGTAGAACTTTCTGGGGGGTACAGGAATTAAACTCAGGGGCACTGAGCCATATCCCCAACCCTATTTTGTATTTTATTCAGAGACAGGGTCTCATTGAGTTGCTTAGCGCCTCAGTGTTGTGGAGGTTGGCTTTGAACTTGCGATCCTCCTGCCTCAGCCTCCCGAGCCACTGGGATTACAGACGTGTGCCACCACGCCTGGCTAGGTAGAACTTTTTAAAACATGCTTCAGAAATAGACTTTGCAAAACTTATGGATGGAACTGAAAATTAAATATACTAAATGAATGTAGCCAACTGTAGACTTCTCTTTGGATCTCCTTACCTTTGTGAAGTACAGGCAGTCCTCACTTTCCACAATGCTGTATTAACTGAACCAGTTCTCCTCTTTGAGACATTCTCAGTGACTGAAGTCACAGGTATTACCATGGGAATGTGCCACACAAGGAATTGGTTCCAGGGTGTTTTCAATGCCATTAATATAGTACTGTGCAGAAGCTAGTACTGCCTTGAGTTCTTTTCAACTATGTAGCCCTTAAAACCAAATGCTGAAACAAATTGAGATCCGACTAGAACCTTTTAATCACAGTGTTTAGTTGAAGTTTGTTTTTAAATTTAATTATTAATGCATATTGATTGTGTGAATTAATGGATTTCATTGTTAGGTTTCCCTCCATGCATGTAACATGATTTGATTGTATTCAACTCCCTACTAACCTTCATCCCCTTCCCTGAAAATTCCCCTTCTACTTTCATGGGATTTTGTGGGGTTTTTTGTTTTGTTTTGTTTTTAATTTGTTTGTTTGTTTTTTAGATTCCACATGAGAGAAAGCATGTGATACTTGTCTTTATAAGTTTGGCTTATTTTACTTAATGTGATGCTCTCTAGTTCCGACCATTTTCCTGCAAATGACATGATTTCATTCTTTATGGCTGCATAGTATTCCAAATAAATAGTCCTGGTACTCTCTTGTGTATGTATATCACATTTTCTTTATCTACTTATCTGTTGATGGTCTTCTAAGATGATTCCATGACTTGATTATTGTGAAAATGCTCCATTGAACATGGGTGTGCAGGTATCTTTTTTATATGCTGACTTTAATTTGTTTGGGTATATGCCCAGGAATGGTATAGCTGGAATGTATATGTTCTATTTTTAGTTTTTTGAGGCACTTTCATATGGTGTTTCATAGTGCCCGCATTAATTTACTTTTCTACCAATAGTGTATAAGTGTTTCTTTTCCCCTTGCATTCTCACTAGCATTTGTTATTTTTATTTTCTTGATTATAGCCATTTTAACTGGGGTTAAGAAAGAATCCCAGTGTAGTTTTGATTTGCATTCACCTTTAGCTAAAGATATTTTTCATGTATTTATTGGCCATTTAGTTTTTCTTTTGAGAAGTATCTGTTCAGTTCACATACTTATTTGTTGATTGGATTACCTGTTCTTTGGAACTTTTTTGAATTCTTCATATATTTCAGATATCAAGCCTATGTCTGAATAGCTGGCAAGATTTTCTCACATTCTCTAGGCCGTCTTTTCACTTTGTTGATCGTTTCCTTTGCATCCTTTGCAGTGAAGAAGCTTTTTAATTTGATGTAATCCCATTTGTCAGTTCTTGCCATTAATTCCTGAACAACTGGAGTCCTATTTAGAACTTCACTGAATCTTGAAGTATTTGTCCTATGTTTTCCTGTAGTAGTTTCGGGTCTTACATTAAGGTCTTTTTGAGTTGATTTTTATATAGGGTGGAAGGGATCTATTTTCAATCTTTTTTTAACTAGTGTATGCCCAGTTTTACCATACCTTTTGTCAAAGAGGCTAACTTCTCCAAAGTCTATTTTTG